AGCAACCCTCATCTTTTCATGTATTTCTACCTGCTCCTGTATTTTTCACTTTATGCATCTGATGAAGTGGGTTTTATCCCACGAAAGCTTATGCCCAAATAAATTTGTTAGTCTCTAAGGTGCCACAAGTACTCCTGTTCTTTAAGCATGTGTGTTCATGTTCACTTGAACTTACTGAATAAAGACTGGGAGTGGTTGGGTCATTAGAAAACCTAAACTTAATTTCCCCAATACTAATTTCTCCCTACTCACATCTTCTTGTCAACTGTCTGTAATGGGCCTCTCTCTTACCACTTCAAAAGTTATTTTTCCTCCCTTGGTATCCTGCTGTTAATTGATTTATCTCATTAGACTGACCTCACGCTTGGTAAAGCAACCCTCATCTTTTCATGTATTTCTACCTGCTCCTGTATTTTTCACTTTATGCATCTGATGAAGTGGGTTTTATCCCACGAAAGCTTATGCCCAAATAAATTTGTTAGTCTCTAAGGTGCCACAAGGACTCCTCATTATTTTTGCTGATACAGACTAACACGGCTACCACTCTCAATTCTGCAGATTGATATCAGTGTTTTAGGGTTATGTTTCATTGTCCTTTGGTTATATTGGCACCAAAAATCTTAGTATAGGTTGATTGTTACGATGTTATTAGTACATGGCTATGCATTGATACATGCTATAAAACTCCTTGCAGTGTGTATACAGAACATACTGTTGTCAGATTATGGTATAAAACTGGAGGTGCACTGGAACTGCAAAGTGTAGATCAGAATCCAAAGCAAAAAATGTCTGGATCTGGGGTTTCCATTTGGATTAATTTTTATTCAGATTAGTTAGATCAGAAAAATTGCTAAGCTGATGGAAAACAAGTGTATCAAGTACTCCTGTGGGAATTCTGTGCCAAAAAATTAAAAATTCTACAAATTGTATTTGTCAAAACAACACTATATAATCACACCAGTTTCAATTATTTTGATAATTTATTTCAAAATACTTGTCAGCAAGTATGTCTGTAACAAGATAGACACACACAAAAATTCCCCCAGGAGTGGAGAGCTAAAGAAACCCCTATAACAACCCAGTTCTTGTTTCTCTGCCCCCTCCTCCCTAGAGCTCAGCTGGGAGGGCAGAGACTCACACCCCTCTCCCCCAGAGCCCACCCATGCCCCTCCCCCCCCAAGCCAGACACTCACACCCCCTAACCCCTCAGAGCCCAGCCATGCCCACCCCCACCCCAGATGATGTATTCTTGGAATCTGGATTGGGTAAGAATCTTTGCTCCTGTACTTTGCAGGAGTTGCTGTAATCTTACAGAAAATGTGAATAAACCTGGGGAAAATGCTTTGGAAGACCTTTTTTGTACAGGATTTTTTGCATTGGTAGCGCTAACCAATACTGCAACACCGGTGTAAACATCCAGTTGTAAGAGTGCTACATTGGTGTAGTACAGGGTGTGCACCAGTGTGTCTCATCCTGGATTCAAGCCAGGGTGAGCTGCACCCACACAAGCCCCACACACACCAGTGAAATGCATCCACCTACACTGGTTTGCCCAGGCGTAGCTATATCAGTACATGCAGTGATTAAGAATCTATCTCCTGAGCATATAAATGTATTGATAAGCATCCTGGTGACAAGTTGAGAAAACTGCAGTCTGAGGCCAAGAGAGGCAGAGGTGGGAGACTTCTCAACTGTTAGTAATTGGAGACATTCCACGAGAACTCCCATTCATAATCATAAAAATGTAGGTCTAGAAGGGACCTCAATAGACCATCTAGTCCAGTCCCCTGCACTGAGACAGGACTAAGTATCATCTGGACACCTGACAGGTGTTTGTCTAACCTGTTCTTAAAAACCTCCAATGATGAAGATTCCAAAACCCCCCTTGGTAATTTGCTCCAGTACTTAACTACCCTGACAGTTAGGAAGTTTTTCCTAATATCAAACCTAAATTTCCCTTGCTGCAATTTAAGCCCATTAATACTTGTCCTGTCCTCAGCAGATAAGGAGAACAATTTATCACCCTCCTCTTTATAAGAACCTTTTACATACTTGAAGACTGTTATCCTGTTCCCTCTCAGTCTTCTCTTCTCCATTCTAAACCAACCCATTTCTTTCAATCTTTCCTAGACCTTTAATCATTTTTTGTTGCTTTCTTCTGAACTTTCTCCAATTTTGCCACATCTTTTCTAAAGTGTGGAGTCCAGAACTGGACCTAGTACTCCAGGTGAGGCCTTATCAGTGCTGAGTAGAGTGGAAGAATTACTTCTTGTGTCATGCTTACAACATTCCTGCTAATACATCCTAGAATGATGTTCACTTTTTTTGCAACAGCATTGCACTGTTGATTCATATTTAGTTTATAATCCATTATAACCCCCAGAGCCATTTCTTATCTAGGCAGTCATTTCCCATTTTGTAGTTCTACAGTTGATTATTCCTTCTTAAGTGGAGTACTTTATATTTGTCCTTTTATTTCAGATCATTTCTCCAGTTTGTCCAGATCATTTTGAATTCTAATCCTCTCCTCCAAGCTCTGGAGGATAGAGGTAGCACTTGCAACCCCTCCCAGCTTGGTATCGTCCGCAAATTTTGTAAGTGTACTCTCTAGGCCATTATCCAAGACACTGAATAGAACCAGATCCAGGACAGATCCCTAAGGAATCCTACTCGATATGCTCTTCCAGCTTGACTGTAAACCTTTGATAACTACTCTCTGATGATGGTTTTCCAACTAGTTGGGCACCCACCTCACAATAAGTTTGTCTAGGCTATATATCCCTAATTTTCTTATGAGAAGGTCATGTGAGACAGTATCAAAAGTCTTACTAAAGTTGAGATCTATCACCTCTACTGCCTCCCCCGATCCGCAAGGCTTGTTACCCTGTCAAAGAAGCATATTAGGTTGGTTTGACATGATTCATTCTTGACAAATCCATGTTGGCTGTCACTTATCACCTTATCGTCTAGTTCCTTACAAACTGATTGATTGATTATTTGCTACATTATCTTTCCAGGCACCAAAGTTAAGCTAACTG